ATCCAACCCCCCAAAGCCAAACCCCCCTCCCCCCCCGCCTCTCTTCCCCTGCACATAACCGCCATGCTATTACTCAAAAGAAAAGAGTGAACAGCAGCTGAGGGCAACTCGCCGATTCCTCATTTCAGTGGAGAGCCCCGAGATGGATCCCCAGCCTTAGTCCCGCTTTATGTTCGTGAAGTAGCACAGGCGGCTGTCACAGGATGGAGGATTAGGACTGCAACTACGGGCTGATCCCTCTAAAACACTAATGCGTGTTCCCACCAGTGGTACCAAAGACTCCAGTGAGACTGTTTACCTGCTCAAATTGAAGCAAGTGCCAAAGTGGATAGATTCTACCGTGCATTGGAAAGGAGATGCTAAAATAGAGGAGAAATCCTTACAGTCTGACTTCCTGAAGAATTAGAAAACCGCATTTTCTCTGCATGGTTAGGAATAATCTGGGTGAACTTCATGTTCTCGCATATGAAGTTCTTCATTCACACAACCTGAGCTAGCATTTATTGTATCCCTAAACATTCTTACGCTTAGTTTTCTGTTGCAAAATTTTATTTCTTGACCGCAACCACATTAAAGCAAAATTATATGTCTCAACAGCACTACGTATGGACTTGATTACTAAAGTTTTGTTTAGAAGAAGATCAGATAGGAAAGGTCACTGGGAGCACTCTTTAAAAGCAGCTGATAAGGTTTTGTGCGCTTAATTTTTGCAATAACCAGCTTAGAGATTTATTATTTAAACTTGGAGTATACTATAAAATTTTCTGTGAAGAGAGAATTAAGGTTTTTTAATGCTCATGGAAAGGCAATATCTTACTGGCCACACAAATCTTAACCCTCCGCCAAGAGGGAGGGTCATGAAGGGTTATTTAGCAGGCTGGCTGTTTAACTTCACTAGCCATCTTAACAGATTGTGTAAAAACAAAATAGTGCTGCACGCGTTTCTTTGGTTTTCTTGGCCGTACACTTTGGACCGCACTCTGCCATGGGGCCGGTGTCCGCAGCTCTCTGGAAGGCTGCGGGGCTGCGGAGGTGCGTGGAGGCAGGAAGGGCTGTTCCCTAAACACGGAGCTTCGACGCGGGGTGGGCTGAGGTGCTGCCGGCAGCCGGAGTGCCTCACACGCTGCGGCGTGTTAACCTGCAGCAGCTACCGCCACGGTCCCTGTTATCTGCTGGCTTTTCTCTAAGAGCTTGGGCTCGCCCCTTGCACCCACAGGTGGTTTTCTGGTCTTGAACCACTGCTGGTTACGGCGTGGTGTGTTACGGTGACTGCCAGACTGACCTTTCCTCCCTCCTAACCTGAGCTGGCAAGACGGGCACACCTACACAGAAACCTTCTGGGTGAGGTTTTCTGACTCATGAAAATTATTTCCGCTCTCACCACAAAACTCCATTTGCCAGTCTTTGCATTTATAATTCAAAAAATTTCTTTGTGCTACCAAAATTGGCTGATAGTGGCTTTAATCTGTCTCATTCTTTTAGATTAGGAGGTTACAGCTAATCAAAAACTCCTCTTCACTGAGAAGTTTTAAACCACTTTTAAAAAAATACTTTTTTTTAGTCAGAGGAAATCTATTTCTTGTCATGAAGTCTAAGGGCCTAGTTAACAATTTAAATTTCCAAGTTACTTATGTTCTTGAAATATGAGAAGTTTCAGATTATTCCTTGCTTCCAATAAAAGTGATGATAAATAAATTAGAAAAGCAGAATGAAAATTTAGAAAAATTCTTAAGCATTTATTTCATTTTGGCATGTTCATTTTTAACTTTTTAAAATAAGTTAGTTAGGTAAAATTTATAAACAGAAAGGCATCAACAAAACCCTTTTTATTTAAAAAAGCAAGTAGAATGGGTTGACAATGTTGAAGTTTTTCCCTAAGCTTTTCCTGCATAAAGAAATTAATTGCAACAAACCCTTTCTATAGTCTTACTTTTTGGGGGAAAAAAAAAACCCACAACCAACAAACACTTTCCAAAGAAAAATGTCTAACCAGACATTCCTAATTAGCTTTGGGAAGAAGTGACTAGCTTGTTCATTTTCCAGATCAACAACAACTTTAAATAAAGCTGAGCAAAGCTGGTTTTGGTACTGCAGCCAAAAAGACCAAATTTAATACATCAAAGATTTATTTGAAGGGCAAATGATGCCAAGTTGAATGGAGTAGAGGAAACAATTTCTCTCTGCAAAGGCCACAGTTCATTCCAACATATCGTTACAGCTGGAGGAAGGTATTCCACTTAGATGCGTATATTTGCAAGAGGGAGATCAGGAACTAAGGAAAAATTATCAACCACTGAATAGCAAGAATCATAAGGAAATATAAATATATGTTTCTTGTTTAGCTTAATAATTATTAAAGGGACAGCTGAGCAGTACAGCAAATGTTCACTCTCAGGAGCTGGATTAATCACACTGCATTTAACTACAGTGTAAACAGGATGCCATAATTTTTACTTCCCCTTTCTGTTCTAGGAGTTGAAGTGTGCTGGCATGTTGTAAAATATCTGTCCCATACCATTTCCCTGCTGGCTGCATTGGGGGTTGATTAATGCCACAACCGATATGTTTAAACCTATATTTCTGCAGTATCTGTTCATTTGGATAGCTCACCTGAGTTTCCAGCTACTGACTCATCTGCATCACTTTATCTTCAAGTACTTATTCCTCTGCACAACAGCTCCCACTGATACGTGTTGGTGTTGTGAAGTCTGTGTACCACAAAAAGCAGACTTCTTGGAGCAGGAATTATTTGGAATTGGACAAGTACAATTCAAAACATCCGAAGTGAGTGGACGCTTTCAAAAGTTTTGGTAATAAAATTCTTGGGAACCTTTCAGTGCTGTAGCAAAGTCTGACACCTTGAAGACTGACTCACACATGTTTACCGAATACTGCAGAACAAGTCATTATATTAAAAGTTATGCTTGTAATATACTGTGTCTTCATACGGTCTCATTTGGAAGTCTCAAAGCAACACACAATTCCCCTAAGTTAAACCTCATATTCTTGTAGGCAGGCAGGTAGGTGAAGGAGGCTGTCCAGGTCTTATCATCCAACAGCTGAAGTGAAATTACTTCTCGCTTAGGGTAAGCAGTATCAGACTCGCCTCATTTGCCTGGTGGCAAACGCATTCCCATAAGTGATGGTAAAGTTTGGCCCAAAGGGCTCCAATGAGTGAAAGCAGCACAAGAGCAAAGTGGCACCCTAAACCAAACTGAAAGTGAGTGTAAGAAGAAAATGCCTTTCTCCCTGTTTCTGAAGCAGTGATGGGCAAAATACTAGGTAATGTGGCTTATTAGTTCTCGTATTTCTGTAAGAAAAGATCGTGTAGTACTTCAGCAGTGAGCAAAGAACGATGTTGCTATGGTGACTTTTTGTTGCGTGGCAAATGTAATAATCAGTTGATTTGTTCATCAGGTCTAACATATTAGCCAGTCTATATTTTGTAGGGCTTTTGGTAGCATTATGAAAGCTGATACAAAAGACTGCCTGATGAGAAAACTACTAAATTTGGGGAAAAGAGAAGCGATGAAATACAGAGATATCGTCTAAATGAGTTCTTTACCTGGCCAATTAATAGTTGCTGATGTTGAAAAGATGCCATCAACCAGCGCTCCTCAGAGTCAACCCATTGATATACTAATAGTCTAGGATGGTTTTAACAAACTGAATACTTCATCATTAATTACATCAACATTCACATAAATCGAGTTTGTTCCAGAACCACTTTGCAGGACTCAGTCAACTGATGAAGAGACACTGAAATAATTTTCACGGAAAGAGTAAAACATGAAATAGGCTTTTCCCCTCATTTTACAGAAAGTAATATTTCTGAAGACACATATGAATGCTTTCTAAATATTATGCTGACTACTACTTAGGCTGTGAGTATAAAATCCTTAGACACTGATAGATGTTTGCCAAGTCTGTGCGCTTCATTGAATTATTAACTGCTAATGATTTGTATGTTTTTCCTCATGAAAGGGCAGAGTTGTTATAATTACTTATCTCATGCTCCAAGTGCTCATGCTTTGCAAAACCCAAGAAAGGCGCTGTGCCTGCTCCATGGGGCTTCTCCTCACAGTGCAGTGCAGGAGGGCGGCCAGAGGGTAAAGCACATCAGCGCAGACACACCAGCAAAGGGTTCGTCAAAGACAGTAGTTTTGAGGAGAGACCTGAAGTCAGAAAGCACTTAGGGACAGTCCTGAAACCCACTAAAGCGGATGGAAAGAACAGCTGAATCTAACAATGAATAGCGTAAGTGGACTGAATGCACTGGAGTATTAAAGGGAAGCAGAAAGTAGAGAGAAGGGAGAGAGCTATCACCAGTGTAGGAGAATGGGAAGTCATTGTCTGAGACATCAGAAAAACAAGCAGAAAATCTTAATGACCCTAGTAACCTAGGAGTCACTAGCTCACCACCTTGCCGCTGGAACTGAGACGAAGATATGTTGGTTTTAATTGCTCCTCGCTGAAGTACTGGTTCTGCATTAATCTGTTGGCTATAATGTAATCGCTCCTGTCTGTCATTTCCTGCAGCGCTGTAATCTAATACTGCACAAGCGTCTCACCATGTTCACATCCTCTATTGAATAATTGTGGCTTCGGTTTCATGATGCATAGTCTGTTCAATCAGCCTGTAATTGCAGCGCTATCTGGAGGTATGGTTGATATACCTATGTAATTATGTTTACTGTTAATGATGCAAATTGAATCTGTTGAGTTAGTGAAATCAGTCATCCTCACTGGCAAGCAGCGGTTTCTACAGATGATTTCTTCAGCTGCTGAGGGACTGTTTCTTCTAGTTCCACTTTGCTCCTTCACACAAAAAATACTCTTATTGAAAGATAACTTTGAAAATAAGAACAAAATCCCCATTGTGGAAGTGTCAGCACTTAATATAATTGAGGCTGTGCAGAAATCTTGTCCACCCAAAAGAGCTGGAGAAGGCCCTGAATTCGGTGGAATGAGTGTGGTACTGGCATGTGAAGTGAGAAATGAGAAATGCATGAATTCCTGTTTGCTTTGGGTATTGCTTCATACGGGCTTTTCTAATAATGGGCAGGGCGATGAATTCAGGAGTAATTGGAGATGCCAGCCTCCTCTGGAAAAGCATAGGAGACCTGCAGGTGCTGTGGCTCTGAAGCTGTAGTTTGTCTTCTCCCAAGAAGTCTGTTGAAAAAACTTTGTCCCTCCCTGATACAGATTCTTTCCCCCCAATCCCATATAAAGTCAGCCTTGGCAAAGGTTTTCAGATATAGGTTTATAGTTAGTGAAATTGCCCATATTCCCTGCTGTAAAAATAGCTCTCTACTTCAGTTTCCTTCTTTTTCATTCACAGCAGTTTCCTTCATACTGTATTACTCAAATGTTACGTCTATCAGGATAATATACTTCACATTCTAGTGTGAAGTGTTTAGAGACTGTATGAGTTTGATTTGTAGGATTATACTGT